GTTTTTGTATTGCAGTGGGAGTGAAAATAATCAAGGCAAGACCCTATAACCTGGTTGCAGGTCTCAGTGTTAGAGTGGGCTTTCAGGCATTAGGAGGGGCTTTCTGGCATTCCAGGCTTTTGAAACGTAGGAACGATTGTGTAACTAGTGGGATTCCAGACATGTATTGTCATCTCCCTGCTCCATGTCTGCCCCCCCTCCTGACAAAAAACATCACCGAGCCACAACTGCAGTAACAGCAGTGAGGAGAGCGTAAGTCCAATGCTAGGTGATGGAAACTGATTATGGTCCACACCTCCATATTTCTAGAGAAGGATGTGTTTTTTCTCCAGGCAAAATTTAACCTGCAGGCCTTAGTCAGAAAAAATGATAAGTAGTGAAATTGTTGGTGTCATGCATGTGGCATTTGACTAAAGGTGAAACTGAGTCTGGTCTGTTTTTCTTTTTTAAATATAAGGATCTTGTATTATTTCCTCAGAATCTAAGTAGATGAATTTCACGTTCTTGTAACAGTGGCGATGCAGTTCTTCCAATAAACTTGTTTCATAGCAGTCTCTCTAGTTGTTCTTATTTTATATGAATTAGCTTTCCTTTTTCACAGAATTGCTAGAGTTAGAAGGGACCTCTAGAGACCATCTAGTCCAACTCTCCCACTGAAGTATGATCATCTAGAGCACTTTACACAGTACTGTGTCCAGGCAGGTTTTGATTATCTCCAGAGATGGAGATATTTTCTTAACCATATTTCAAAATATATTATCGTATTTTCTTAACCATAATTGTTTTCAGTCCTTATAAGTAAGGCTTTAAGAAGAAAAAAAGTAACTTCATCTTTATGGAAGCAGTTGGTTGTCACGCTTGTATAAAAAATGAAAACGTGGTAGACTTCTTAGTCATAAGAGAACCCAACAAATAGTGTGTAGCACTTGTTTCAAAAGAAGTAGAGAAGCTGTAGGTACAAAAGGTGCCCTTGAGAAAGAAATTGTGCTGCAAGGTAGTAGTTACGTTGAATAAAGTTGATTTGTAGAGATCCTTAAAGGTTTTTCAGTTATTGTCACTTTATACAAATAAGTGAACAAATTTGTTGAGTCCATTCGATTGTTGAACTCTCCATGCTGAACTCTAGTCTTGAATCAGCATATATCATATGTTCAAACTGCACCTATTACAAATGAAAGTAATTTATCTAAATATGGATGTTCTTATAATCTCTTGGATACAATGAAAACAACAGCAACATAAGCCGTCTAGGAAGCCTTTAACAGTGTTTCAGCAGTGTAACTTGAGCTGTGATGACACCTGCCTCTTAAGTCCCTCATCCCTTTTCTAGCAGTAGTGCTCTAAGTTTGATCATCTGAGATCTCATTCAGTATCCAGGAAGTTCCTGCTG